TATGGGTACGATACGAGCAGTCTGTTGCACTTCCAGCTTTGAAGAGAGTATAGGTGTCCTCTGACCTCAGAGACACTTCTTGAGGTCCCTCCTTCCTCACTGGCACTTCTGAGTCCGAGGTGGTGGCCAGAGCGTTCCACGGCCCAGGATGCTGGTCAGTTTCTTTGAATCACTTTCAGGGTGGAGACAACAACGCAGCCCAAGACCCTCTTCTTTACCCTGACCCTGTGGCCTACTTCCAGTGGGTCAGTGGCATGGAAATGGCAGCGTTTTGGCCAGTGGTGGGTTCTGGACCTGGTTTTCTAACTGGTGGAGCAGTTTGGCCTTCGGTTCATCTCTGAGCCTCTGGGGGGAGGGAACTCGGTTATCTGTGCATTTCTAATGCTCTCTGGGGCTCTTACCCTGGTGTCATGCATAGAAGTTGGCTGTGTGTGAAGCTGAGAGGAGAAAGTTGCTTATTTTCCCTAAACTTTCAGTGAAATTGAACATTTCCTTTAATTATGAAGGTAGGCAACAAATGTCTGCTGTCATCAGGAGCAGTCACAGGTGTTTCTCTGTTCCGTTACAGTTGTCACAGATTCCTTTTTTTTAGATTTATTTATTTATTTTAGAGCACACACAAGTTGGGGGAGGAACAGAGGAAGAGGGGCAAAGAGAATCTCCAGCAGACTCCCCACTGAGCTCGATCCCACGACCCTGAGATCATGACCTGAGCCAAAATTGAGTCGGACAGTCAACCGACTGAGCCACCCAGATGCCCCTGCCCCCAGCTTTTTTTTTTTTAAGATTTATTTATTTGGGAGAGATGGAGTGCCAGTGTGTACCCACGCTACCGCCAGGAGCGGCAGAGGGAAAATCTCCCCTAGACTCCCTGCTGAGCACGGAGCCTGCCATGGGCTCCATCTCATGACCCTGAGATCATGACCCTGAGCTGAAACCAAGAGTCGGAGGACACTCAACCAACTGAGTCCCCCAGGCGCCCCCACAGTTGTCACAGATTCTTGGTCTGTCATGTGCCCCATTGCTGCTTTAGGGTTACCGTATTGTTAGACTTGCCAGATCTTGTTATTACACTGATAAAGAAAATCACGTACTGTTACATCACACTGTCACTGCTTTAATATTTTGGTATTTTCATCCTTTGTCCTCCTGCATATTTTGTTATGCCTTTAGAACATCATTCTGAGGGCGGCCCTGTTCTTTTCCACGTGCTAGAGGAGTCATTCATCTCATGACTAACGAGAGCTCCTGTCCTCGGGGGTGATTTCATACCTCCCTGGGGACTCGGAGTCCTGCCTCTAAGAAGGTGGGCATGGGCTCCTGGGTGAGAGGAAGCAGCAGATGTCATGGGAGACAAGCCGACCCAGGCCCAGAAAGCCTACAACAACCACACAGCCCTAATGACATCATGATTCACTGTTTAAAGCCCAGCCACGGGCCGGGCTGGGAATGGTGTATACCTTTTAGACTTTATTTGGTGCATCATGTAGCTATTTTTTTTTTTAAAGATTTTATTTATTTGACAGAGAGAGACACAGCGAGAGAGGGAACACAAGCAGGGGGAGGGGGAGAGGGAGAAGCAGGCTTCCTGCCGAGCAGGGAGCCCAATGTGGGGCTCGATCCCAGGACCCTGGGATCATGACCTGAGCCGAAGGCAGACGCTTAATGACTGAGCCACCCAGGCGCCCCATCATGTAGCTATTTAAAAGCACAACACCTCTATATATTGTTTGATGGCCTGAATTATTTATTTAATTATGCGTAAATACATCTTTCCATACAAAAATACGTTTTTAAAACTTTTTAATAGTAGCATTAAAAAAACAAATCTCAGGGGCACCTGGGTGGCTGAGTCGGTTGGGCATCCGCCCTCGGCTTGGGTCGTGATCCCAGGATTCTGGGATCGAGCCCCATGTGGGGCTCCTTGATCAGCGGGGAGTCTGCTTATCCCTCTCCTCTGCTCTCTTGCTCTCTCTCCATCTCAGGTAAATAAATAAAACCTTAAAAGATAAAATAAAAAAACAAATCGCAGAAGCAACTCATGTTTACCATGCAGAATGGACACACAGTAGAGGCAGTGAATTACCAAGTGGGGCTCCCGGGGTTCGTGTCGTCCTGCTGTCTGTGCTGGATCTGTCCTTGAGGACCAGGTGCCAGGAGTGGAGTTGCTGGCTCAGAGGGCAAGTTTGTTCTCTATGAATTTTGATGCTTTTTGGAAAATTGCTCCCCTGAAAATGACTCCCTTCTGAATCCCCACCAGTAGCACTGTGTGTGTCTTCTCAAATCTTTGCCAACAGTGTGTATTTCCTTTTTTATCTTTGCTGATTTGATAGGCCATCGTGTTTTAATTTGCATTTCTTTGATTCATTGCATCATTGAATGGTTTCATTTGGTTTTGGCTCTGGGTTTCTTTTTTCCTCTTATGAATCACCTCAGTGTTCTTGGCAGTATCACTCAGGGTCCTGGCAGGATGCAAATGCAGCCACAAAGTCTTTACAGGAAAATAACTTAATGAAGGGAGCAGTTACAGAGAGCTGGGCCGAAGAAGCAACAGGGCTGGATCCCCACAGTGGTACTGTGAGCCTCTCGGGCCCAGGGCAGGTCGGGGGCATCGTGGTGGGAGAGGGGTGCAGCCTGGGGTGAGGCAGAAGTAGTAACACCCATGGCTCTCCCCTGGCGCCCCCCTCTGGGGGCTCCTGCTGACTCCAGGGCTGTAGTGCCCAGGATCCCCCCCCGGAGCATCAAGGAGGACAGAGAACACGTTTGGGGACACATGGGGAAGAGCGAGCACACTGGCTTCGTCCGTGTTTTCTTCCTGGGCATCTGCCTCAGAGGCCTTTGGACAGCAGTCAGGAGGTCTCCCCCGCGGCAAGCCCCCGCCAATTTAAGGCCTCCCCAGGGATGGTGAGCGGGGACGCGATGGCCTCTCTCAGCCCAGATGCCACGTGCTGCATTGGTGTGGCTGGACACCCTGGTTTCCGTTTGCATTTTAATTCAGGTGTTGTGTTATTTATAGCCATATGCTGTCAAGAATTTTGTAGACAGACCAAACATAGGTCTGCTGTGTTTTGTCCCAGGAAGCTGTAACCTCAAGTCATTTCTCTGTCAGGACCAGTCTGAGGTGCCCAGTACAGAGCCTGCAGTCAAGTGCAGAAGGAGAAGGTTGCTTCCCCCGACTTAACACACACACAGCCGCGCAGGAAAGACGAAGGCACGTTCAGCTGTTCTCCCTTCCCCAGCTCCCCTTCCTCCAGAACGTCCCAGAACGGAGCTGGCTCCTCCTGTTCTATTTAGGGCCGTGTCTTCAGAGGGTTGGAGAGCGCTGTCCTAGGGAGGCTGCACGGAGGCCACCGAGGGCCTGGGGACGTGTGGGGCTGAAGAGCTCCTGCTGTTTGCAGCCTGTGGGATGCTTAGCTGCAGCCCTGGCGTCTGCGCCCTAGGTGACCGGAGCTCCCTTCCACCCCCGTTGTGCCAGCTGGAAATGTCTCCCGGCGTTGGCAGATGTCCCCTGGGGGCCTGTCTGTCCCCAGCTGAGAACCCTGCATAGAAAAGTTCAGACACTTGTCGGTAAGCCCACCCAGCAGGACCCTGCATGGGGCTGGTTGCTGCTTTCTGTGTCCCCGGTTTCAGAAGCGGGGGTCTGGAGACCATTCGCTGGTAGGTGTGTTGCTGTGATGTTTTACTTCTTAGGTCGGTTCAGGAAAATATGTCCTTAGGGACAAATACTTTTGGCAGGGATTATTAAAGATAATGAGAAAAAGGACCGTTTGATCTGCGAAAGGGTCAGGCTAGGTCACGGGGCTTGTGTGCCCGGAGCAATATGCTGTTGAACCATGGTTAGGTCTCCTGTCTGCCACGGGTTGCTGGGACAGGAGACAGGGCCGTGCTGGAACCTGCTGCTGGGAAAGGTGGTCTCCTCCAGGGGCCTGTCCGAGCAGGACCAGAGCCTTGCCAACAGCTGTTCGGTGTGGGTACAGGGTACTCTTTATGTGGGGCCGGGTGTGGAGGGCCATGCGTGGCAGGTCACGGCAAGTGATGGCGGGGGGTGTCTCCCGGGAAGTGTCAGGGGTGACGCAGCATTTCACATGCTCCTAAGAGAAGGGTTTTGCTCTCAGACAGTGGGCAGTTGTCACATGGGAATCTCAGTCCTGTGTCTGTCGGTCACAGGGAAAGGCGGAGTGACTGTGCTGTCCTGCATAGCAGAAGACGCCCCATGCAGATGCCTCAGGAGCCATGTGGTAGAGCAGGCCGGCTCCTGCCCAAAGTGCCGCCCTGTCGGGGCTGCTTAGCTGCTCATGAGTGCCTGAGGACCTTGACGGCCACTGGGGTGACTCGGGTGTTGTTGTGTCATCTGTTTTGTGATGGGCGTGTCCAGAGGGTCCTGCTGTCACTGACCCTAGGAGTCTGTGGGTTGAGCTTGGCGAACCTGGTGTTGCACAGCCCAGTACCAGAGGCGGCAGGGCGTTCAGAAGGTTTCCTGGCCAGGACTCCTGGGTCTCACTCCCTTTATCGCCCCTAACCACCGTGAGCTGTTTGTCAGGGGGGGCGTAGCCTGCATGGGGTCAGGTCCGTTCCCACATCGCTGCGTTTCCCATCTGTGCCTGCTGTGTCTGCGGCTGTTTTAGGCACCACAGGTCCAGGAGTGAACCAAACAGATAAGCCCCCTGTCTTCAGGATGCTCCCAGCTAACAGGAGGCTGGGCGAACGCCTCTCTAGTGTGTCTGTGAGAGGTGCCCAGAGGACTGCGGCGGGCTGGCCTGGAGGGACTGCCCTGGCAGTCAGGGCTGGTGTCACGGAGCGGGTGACCTTTGAGCCAGCCCTTGGAGGAGAGAGCCCCAAGAAGGGGGTTTGAGGGGAGGGCCCGGGACTAGTGCTGTGACCGAGAGCTCAGTTACGCCTGGTGAACCATGACGTCCCTGATGGGTGAGCATCCATGGTGCAGCGTTGGTAAATGCTTGTGTCTCAGTGTGACCTTTCTCCCTTTTTTCTTTTCTCATCAGCCAGGGCCAACTCGTTTGTAGGAACAGCCCAGTATGTGTCTCCAGAGCTGCTCACAGAGAAGTCGGCCTGTAAAAGGTAACTCACTTTCATCTGATCCGGGATATTTTCTTTTCACTACAGTAGCTCTTACGTTTGTTTTTTCATGTACAGTTAATAGTTAAGGGAGTGCCTTTTATGGCCTTTATCAGTATCTTTCTTGGATAACCTGTGTGCTCCTTTATTGTTCTTTGTTATACTTCCTGGGGCTGTTGTTGCTTGATGCTTTGAGATTTGATCTTGTTCCTTTAGGAGCAACTATTCAGTGGGGGGGAAAGTGTGGCCAAGAGGTCAGTATTCCTTGCCGTGTCCCTGAGCCCTGGGATCCTTAGCGCTGCCTCCGGCTGGTGCCCCCTGGTGGTGGCAGCGGCAGGAGGTCAACTCTAGCAAAACAGGCTCTGCAGAGTGTGGGGAGAGGCCCGGAAGGCAGCCCGTGTGGGAGGGGGTGGAGCTGGTTTCCCAGCCAGGGCCCAGCCAGTGCGAGCCATCCCTCCCCAGTGCTTAGAACCAGCACAGGCCTGGAGCCACAGGGTCGAGACCCTGAGTGGGGGCCTGAGTTTTGAAAATGAGAGGTGCATAGGTGAGGTTCTGCTCGCAGGAACAGAGGTCTGGAGAGTGAAGAGTCAGCAGCAGGGCAGCAGGGGACAAGGGGATGGGGATGCCAATGGCCAGGAGCAGGGAGAAGTCAGGAGAACGGTCTAGGGCAGGCCTGAGGCAGGCAGAGGACGGAGAGGTAGCAGAAGAGTCTGTGGTCTCAGTGTTGAGAGCCGTTCCAGATGACAAGTTCTGTGGCTGGAGCTTTTCTCTGGCTCCTTGATGCTGGGGGTGGGGGGGCCTCCCCCGGGTTGACTAAGGGCCGTGCCGTCAGTGTCCTGTACTGGCCGGCTGCAAGGAGCCACTTTCCTGAGAGACAGCCCTGCCAGAAGTGGCAGAGGAGTGAGTGGTTCTGGGGGTGGCTCTGTGTTTCTGAGTGTGACCGCTTTTTAAAAACTCTCTAGGGGTTGGAGGCGCAGGGCACACATGAAGGTGGGTGGGCCTCTTAGCAGTCTCTGGGTTCTTTTTTTTTTTTTTTTTAAAGATTTTATTTATTTATTTGAGAGAGAGAGAATGAGAGACAGAGAGCATGAGAGGGAGGAAGGTCAGAGGGAGAAGCAGACTCCCTGCTGAGCAGGGAGCCCGATGCGGGACTCGATCCCGGGACTCCAGGATCATGACCTGAGCCGAAGGCAGTCGCTTAACCAACTGAGCCACCCAGGCGCCCTCTTTTTGTTTTTTTAATCTTACTCAGTCCACAGATTCTGAACTCTTACTGTGGGCCAGACATTGTTGTAGGGCAGGGCTTCTTAGCTGGGGCAGTTCTGCCCCCCAGGGCACATTTGGCCCTGTCTGGACACTTTAGGTGTCGCCACTTGGCAGGAGTGGGAAGGGAGTGCTATTGGCGACTGGCGGGTGGAGGCCAGGGACGCTGCTCAGCCTGGTGAGATGCAGATACAGCTCCCCAGCAAGACTGAATAGGCTCCTGGTGTCCACGGTGCCGAGGCTGGGTGGTGGGTGCTGCGGGCCAGATTCTCGAAACATATGTCATGGCTGCCTAAAGGCTAGCTTTTCCTCAATTTGGGGCTTTTAGAATGAAGTAGCCCTTTAGCACTGATGGCGGAAGGCCTCCAGCTCTGCTGGGTGAGATGGGAAGAGAGAGTGGCCGCTGCCTTCTGTGTGAAAACTGGAAGGAGCATGTCTACCCACATTCACTTGTCCGTCATTTAAACTCTCCTGGGTGGGTGCGCTGGCAGTGGGGGCAGTGGCCTGCTGGGGGCGTGAGGGGGTAGCTAGCTCTGTGAGGGAGACAGCATTGTGTATCTTTTTATGCTTTTAAATGTTTAAGTCGTGATATTTATTCGAAAATAGTTAAGATTTGTTTTCTGATTCTAAAAGTGATACCTGTGTATTATAAAGAATTCTTAGAAAATATGGAGGATACAAGAGCAAGGAACACTCAGAGTCTGCAGCCCACTTACACCAGTGTCTTTGCAGTTAGTTATTTCTGTGTGTCTTCTGTATGTTCACATGACTTCTGTTCACCTTGAGCCCTGTTTCTTGGGATTACGGAGCCAGCATCTCCCGTGTCCCTGAAGTCATCTGTAGACATCTCTGACACTGTGTGCTTCTGGCACATGGATTTACTGTAGGTCATTGAGTTCGTCCTTTATTGTTGGCACTGAGGTGCTTTTCATTTACGTGGCACAATCTTGCGTGACTGCCACATGCCACACATGCCAGGCCCCGGGGAGGGGAAAGGTGCCCCTGCGTGTCCTGAGTCTGTGGGGTCTGCCTCACGGTCCTCCACTTGGATTGCAGGAAGCGGAATGACTTGGTCTAACTTAGCATTTTAAAAATCCTTGGTACAGGGCGCCTGGGTGGCTCAGTTGGTTAAGCGACTGCCTTCGGCTCAGGTCATGATCCTGGAGTCCCGGAATCGAGTCCCGCATCGGGCTCCCTGCTCAGCGGGAGGTCTGCTTCTCCCTCTGACCCTCCCCCCCTCATGTGCTCTCTCTCTCTCATTCTCTCTCTCAAATAAATAAATAAAATCTTAAAAAAAAAAAAAAAATCCTTGGTACATACTGCTTTCCAGAAACGTTACACCGACTTCCCTCTTTAGTTTTTATTGTATTAAAAAACCATCTTAAGTGGTAGGAGAGCGGCTGGTGATAAACATTCAGATAATGCACAGGAGTGAGAAGAGCCCAGGCCCGGCTGTGTGGACAGTCCCGCTTCCTGGAGGCGGCAGCCCGCCCATAGCCGCCCGCTCAGTCTCTGGCTACTGCCACTGCCAAGGGCCGAAGCTTTTCTGTTGGTGTCTGTCTTGTGTGGCTCCCCATTTTAACTAGACTGGATAGTAGAGAAAACCAAGTGTAAAACTAGTTATTGGGTAGAATGTAGATTCTCTTTTTTTTTTTTTTTTTAAGATTTTACTTATTTATTTGACAGAGAGAGAGACACAGCGAGAGAGGGAACACAAGCAGGGGGAGTGGGAAAGGGAGAAGCAGGCTCCCCGCAGAGCAGGGAGCCCGATGCGGGGCTCAATCCCAGGACCCTGGGACCATGACCTGAGTCGAAGGCAGACGCTTAACAACTGAGCCACCCAGGCGCCCTTGTAGATTCATTTTTTAAATGCCCTTCACTCCACTTGTATGTTGTGCCTCAGATTTCTGATCTGTTCTATCTTTTAACCCATGTCACACGCCCTTCCTGCCCCCGGCGCTGCGGCTGGCCTGACCCTTCCACCCGCACCCTGCAGTCTCATCTCCTGAATGCCAGGCCGTGGCCTCTTCCAGAAGCTGGTTGTATGCAGCAGCCCATGAGCCCGTGTACATTTAGGGCTTGGGGGAGGCAGCTGGCGGTGTGGGATGAGTTGCATCTGGATGCTTTTGTAGTGCTGAGCTGGGAGTAGAATGAAAAACTTCCAGGGGCGCCTGGGTGGCTCTGTTGGTAAGGGAGAGACTTGTGTTCTCTCTCTCTCTGTCAAATAAATAAATAAAATCATTAAAAAAAAAAAAAAGAAAAACTTCCAGAGGAAAGAAAATATGCAAAGTTGATGTCAGCCATGAGCTCCAAGAGGGCACTGAGGGGCAAGAGTGAGCAGGGTGGGGTGGGAAGGGGGCGGTGACATCACAGGCAAGGAGAGCATCCCCTCCAGGGTCCCTGCTAGCTGGTTCTGGAAACAGCTTAGGGAAGTTTAGAACTGTTTCTTCTAAAATGTGGAATTAAAATGTTTATGAAGGAGGGATAGGGCTTTTCACAAGTTCAAGAAGGGACAGAATTAAAGCTTGCTTTGTGCATATCCTGTGGATTGTCTCATTTGGCCCCTTGGCTTGCGTCTGTGTCCTGGGGGTAAACGCTGAGAGAGTTGCGAGAGAATCTAAGTTGATCCATCGCTGTACTGACCTGCAGTGAGTGCCAGGAGCCCCCTTACCAGCGCCACCACCTGCTGCCTGGCACTGGAAGAAGGTGCTTCACTGTCACTGTCAGTGTTTCTGTAGTCAGGAATGACCTCTGCTGTCTCTTCAGGTCCACGTGGGCCCTGTGAGACAGTTGGGGCCCCCCGGCAGTGGCGGGTCTGTGGGAATGGCCGCATGGCCTGGCCCAGTAGTGCCTGCTGTGTGTGGGACTCTCCGAGTCCGGGTCCCCAGGGAGGCCCCCTCAAGAAGGACCCTGAGCAGGTTCCCACCCTCACACTGACCTGGTTTTAAAGAAGAGAAGTAGATCAGAGATGGGGCAGTAGAACCAGTAGGGCAGAAGTGAACTGTGCTTGTCACGGACATTTTACAAACGTCGTTCTTCTCTGTTTTTCCCCTCCCTTAAAGTTCAGACCTTTGGGCTCTCGGATGTATAATATACCAGCTTGTGGCAGGACTGCCGCCTTTTCGAGCGGGGTAAGACCACCCACCACCCCCAAGCCCATCGCAGCAGCTGCAGGAGAGGTGGGAGGGGGCAACCCTGGGGCTGGGCCAGGGCTGGGCCAGGGTTCGGGGACTTCTGCAGCAGTGTCTCTGCAGGAGAGAGGGAGACTGCTGGCCCGGGAAAGGTAAAGCTCTGTGCTGGGGATGTTTGTGCACTCTGCCCAAGTGATGGTGTTTCTTGTTTTACAGAAATGAATATCTTATATTTCAGAAGATCATTAAGTTGGAGTATGACTTTCCTGAAAAATTCTTCCCTAAGGCAAGAGACCTTGTGGAAAAACTTTTGGTAAATATTCTGAATTGTCTTCTGTAAGATGATCCGACAGCCACACTCTGAGTCCCTCTAAACTTGTGGTCAGAGCAGCTTTCCTGGAGGCCCCTGTGTTTCACAGAAGGGTGTCTTAGGGTTGATAATGAGTGTAGGTAGATTTTGTCATCTGATTACTATAAGTCCTTTTCAATTTCCAAATGCCCAATTCTTGACTTTAGTAAGACAGGAAATCATTGTATCATTTTGCATTTGTTCATCAACATACATGGCATTTTAAGTTACTTGTTGCTGGAGCTACTGGGTGTATTATAGTGGCAGATGGCTCTAAATCCTGCACAGTGACATCTGTGGGTGTCAGCTTTAGAGTCTGCTGCAGGAAGGTTTTAAAGATCACCCAGGTACTATAGAAGAGGTAAGCGATTCACGCAGCAAAGGTATTTGAGTTTGTGTTTAGCAGCTGCAGTGTCCCTGCCCTGGTGTGCACGGGTGCTGGACCTCCCCTTCACTTTCCCTTCGTCTTGGGGACAGGGTCAGTCCTGTGTCGGCCTGCCTCTCCGGGGCCTGTCCCGTCAGCAGGCAGCGTGTTGATGCTCGGTGGGTCTAGGGCCGTAAAGCTGAATCTGGGAGGAGACGACTCTGGGGCCCTTTGAGATGAAGCACAGTTGGGAGAACACAGCATTTTGAGTTCTGTCCGTGGTAGCTCGCCATCTAGACAGATTCTTGGTCTCTTTGTTATTAAAGACAGTATGTTTATTTTTTTCTTGTTGTAGGATTTTTAATTGTGTATTTTAAGAGAACGCTTGATGCTATTCATTAAATTTTGAGTTATTTTCACCTATGCAAGGGGAAGGCTAGGAGCTTGAGAGAGGTAAACGAAGCCCCAGGGGTGACTCTGCTGTCCACGGCATGCTGTGGGATGGGGCGGGACAGGCCCTAGTGCCCTCCTTTGTCTGAGATGAGAAGAATTGAAAAGGAGTACTCAAAAAGAATGTTTTTGTCAAATACTTTTCGATCCAAGCACTGACTTGTGTTGACTTCTGTTTCAGGTTTTAGATGCCACGAAGCGATTAGGCTGTGAGGAAATGGGAGGGTACGGCCCCCTGCGAGCTCATCCGTTCTTTGAATCCATCACGTGGGAGAACTTGCAGCATCAGACGCCTCCGAAGCTCACCGCCTACCTGCCAGCCATGTCGGAGGATGACGAGGACTGCTACGGAAACGTAAGCCAGCCAGCATGTGCACGCATGTGCGCGCGTGTACGCAGTGTATGTGCGTGTGGGGGGGGGTGTGCATGCGTGAGTGGTGTTTGTGCATGTGTCTGGCGGGGGGAGCGTGTGCGTGCACACGCACGTGTGTGTCAGGAACAGCCCCGCAGTGCTGTGTGCCACCATTCCTCGGTGCACAGGGAGTCCTTGCCATGGGCCCTGGGAGCCCAGCTTGTGGAATGCATGGCTGGAGGGGAGGCCAGTATAGACGTGTTGGTGGCTGAGCCCTGTGCAGCCCCTGGCCGAGTTTCCCCAGTTCCAGGGCCAGTGAAGCGTCCACCTGCCCATCTGCCCAAGCGCAGATTGCCAGGCTGGGGGGGGGTGAGGGCAGTCTCCTTTTCTTACTGTAGTTAGTTTCCCCCCAGAGGCAGCGTGCTGTTGGGTCAGGGAGACTGGAACCCATGGGAGCAGCACCCTCCATGCTGTCCCCCTGGGCTTCTGTCTTCTCCTTTTGGCTGGTGCTTTGTAATTGTGCGTCTAAAGACATTCTGGAATGCTTCTCATCTTCCAGAAGCCCAGGGTGCTGCTGCTTTGAACTTTTGGGGGACATTGGTCACTGTTAGCTTTTCGTGCCTAGTAGAGGTGGGGTCTTGAGTATATTTGTTGTTTGAACGTTCCTTATGGAGGATGTGAAGACACGGAAGTGGGCAGAGGGATACAGTGAGTGGCCATGCACCCCCCTCACACCACCAGTGACCAGCTTCTTGGCAGTCCTGTGCTCCCTCCTCACCCTCCACCATGACCCCCCATGTTTAAATATGATTTCCCATGTTTCTGTTACCATCCACAGTCCGTTCTCCTGGTGTAACTTCTGTCCTCATGGCTTATTCTAGCCAATTCCCGTGTATAGAGTGCCACATTAGTTGACTGGGGAATTTAGATTTATCTAAAAGTCATCCACAGCTTAGTTAAAATTACTGCTTGTATCCTCTCAGAGACCGAGTTTCTTCTGTCTCCTACTTACTGTTGTAAACAACACATTACCCTTTCATTGTCCTAAAATATCCTTTGTGCCCAGACTTGAAGGGAGTCGGATGTGGGTAGCCATCTGGGCTCACTTCTGGCCTGCTTCCCCCACCACGGTGGTCTCAGCTGTCAGCAGCCTCCACGTGTGCGGACCGCGGGGGACCCCACCACAGGCCTCCGTCCCCCGGGCCTGACGTCCTTCTGGAGCCGTGGCCAGTGAAGCAGCTTGCTCCGACTGCCGGCTCTGCAGGGGCCACTCATGCTGTTGTTGACTCGGGGCTCAGCTTCGTGGAGCTGTGTGTGCCTGTGCACGTGTATTACACGCACGGTGGAGTATCTTGGGCAGGCCTTCTGTCTGCTGGTTGGTCGCATTCACCTCGCTGCGAACCCTGGCTTCTCAGTACTCAGGTGTGGCCATCTTAAAACCAGCTCCATTGGTTAATGGCTTACTTTCTGTTAGATGGCGCATCCTCAGCTTTCCAAGCTGTGTGGTTTGAAAGCCTTGGGGGGGAGGTATTCAGGCAGCGCTCGCTGTACCAGACTTTGCATTTGGACAGTGAAGTGAGCCTTGACCTGGGAAGGTGTCCAATATGGGAGGGGGCACTCCTATTCTGTGGGTGTTGACAGTCTTGCAGGGGCATGTTCTCATCCACGAGGCCCCAAGAGAGTCTGGGGTCCTTTTCAGCAGGAAGGGGGCTCCCTCTGGGGGCAAAGAACTGGGAACTGTGTTTGCTCAGGGAATGAAGAGAGCGGGCACTTGGTTCTCTTGTGTGTTCTTAATCTGCTGCCGTGGCTGGTGGTGGTGCTGGTGGTTAGACCCTGGATGGGGTGTGCCAGGTGTGGCACCCTTGGGAAAAGCCTCTGTGCTGGAGCATCATGGGGAGTTTCCTTAGTGTGCGCCGGCAGGTACCCCCATGCCAGCCAGCGTCACCCCTTGTCACTCGCTCTTTCTGGGCTTGCGTTTTGTGCTGCGGGTTGTCCTAGATGCTACCAAGGATCGAAGAGCAGAGAGCTGAGATACATCTGGAGCTTTCTGTGGGGCGTGGTAGGAAAGACGTAGAGGACTGGTCCTAATTCGGTGCTAGCTAGCAGACTGTGGTCTTGGGGCAGTTCCATGCCTCAGTTTCCCTGTTTTAGAAATGGAGATGATGGAGACATCCGTCTCATTGGCTTTGCAGCTCCTGAGACACCTGGCAGTGGAAGCCTCTGTAAACTTTGGGATGTTGAGCAGAGGCGGCCTTGGTCCAGGGAGTCCTCACAGAGCAGAAGCAGAGAATGTGCTAGAAGAAGACCTTACTTAGATGAGAGGCCGTAGGAGTGTCCAGCCAGGGTCAGTTCCACCCAGGAGCCAGTGAGGTGGGTCTGAGCCTGCTGTCTGTGCAGTGTGAGCATCTGGGAGAAAGCCACTCCTGGCAGTGAGTCAGGAAGGTGGGAGCACGGTCTGCAGGGGGGGGGGGGGGTGCTGTGTCCAGGGCCCACCTTCAAGGGTGGCAGCAGGGGCCTTTCTGGACACATAGGGGACTTGGAAGGACACACGGGCTCTGGTCTCAGCCCTTGCTGGTGGCTTCTTTTCCCTTATATTTGGCTGCAGTGGGGTTCAGGCGTGGGGCCTGCAGCTGTGGGGAGCAGGCCGTCAAGGGCGAGCACTCTTCCTTAGGTCTTTGTTGGGGGCTCTCTGGCCCTCTCACCGGCCCCAGGGGTATCTGAATGCACAGGCACTTCTGTGAGTAAGTCCATTTTCGTGTTACCACCGGTTTATAGCTTTCTCCAGAAGAGCAGGCAGCTTTTTATCAAATTTAATTAATATTTGCTATAGTTGGGGCGCCTGGGTGGCTCAGTTGTTAAGCGTCTGCCTTCGGCTCAGGTCACGATCCCAGGGTCCTGGGATCGAGTCCCGCATCGGGCTCCCTGCTCTGCGGGAAGCCTGCTTCTCCCTCTCCCACTCCCCCTGCTTGTGTTCCCTCTCTCGCTCTGTCTCTCTCTGTCAAATAAATAAGATCTTTAAAAAAAAAAAAATATTTGCTATAGTTAAAAGGGATATATATATTTTTTAAATTGAACACAAATTGGGACAAATGACAACTACAGACTTTTAGAAACGTCAGACCACAGGGTCAAGGAGGAGGGCTCCTGAGCTTACAAGAGGGTGCCTCTGCACCCAGGAGGCCATCCATCCCTCCTCTTCTTTCCTCTGGTTGGGGTAGCCCAGGGCTTGCAGGAGTCAGCAGTCCCCAGGCCCTGGGTCTCCTCTTCCTGGGGATGAAGACTGGGGGTCAGCCCATCAGGAGGGGGACCAGACCTGGCAGCACCCAGCCCTGCCTTGGTTCAGGGGCTCACCATCTGGTGCAGGAGGAGTCAGAGCGGCCACGGGGGCCTCAAGACCTCCAGGGTGTGAGCTTGCTGGGTCTGGGCTGGGGGCCCAAGGGAAATCGTGCGTGGCTCTCACTCTTCCCTCTTCTCTGTGCAGTACGACAACCTCCTGAGCCAGTTCGGCTGCATGCAGGTGTCCTCGTCCTCCTCCTCCCACTCCCTGTCCGCCTCGGATGCAGGCCTGCCGCAGATGGCGGGCAGCAACATCGAGCAGTATATCCATGACCTGGACACTAATTCTTTTGAACTGGACTTAGAGTTCTCTGAAGATGAGAAGAGGTTGTTACTGGAGAAGCAGGCCAGTGGAAACCCTTGGTAAGAATCCATAGATGTAAGCTGTGCTCCATTTAGAAGAGCGGAGCCAAGCGCGTGGGAGTCGAGCAGCGGGAGACCGAGAGCACGGGCGCCCACCCTCCATCTCCACTGCCTGCCAAGGCCCCGTATCACCTCACACCTCCCTTGCTGCCATTAATGCTCAGGAAACAAGGACCCTCAAAGGGTTCAGCTTGAATTAGGGATTTGGAGGTGTTGGCCTGGGGATGAGTGGGTTTGAGACCCTCAGGGCTCAGTGAGCCAGGCCTTGTCAGCATCAGTGTTCTGACGTGGATTTACCACCGACCAAATGACCACCGCTCCTAGGGGGCGCATGTGGGGCATTCTAGAGTTTTCACTATTGCAGATCATCTTTTGCATGTAGGTTTTCCCACTTGCCTGGGTGTTTCTCGTAAGGGGGGGCCCTGGGTTGGCAGGTGGAGTGGGTGTGAGCACACGTGAGGATGCGGTGCTCTGTGTCCACGGTGCCGGGGAACCCCTGTCTCCCAGCACTCTTGCCTCTCCTGAAGCACTTTGATGCTCTAAAAATGGGTCATGGGAATTTGCATCTGTATCCTGGTTGAGGCAAACATCATTGGCCGTTTCTATTTATCTTTTAAGGTACTTGGTCTTCTTTGACTATTTTTCTTCTTGTACATTTTCCATCTTTTCGAAATTGGCTCTGAGAGCCATGGATGCAAAGAATACTTTTGTTGTATGTTTCACAAACATTTTTCTTCAGTTTGTCTTTTCAGTTTTTTGTGTGTATTTTTGTATAGAAGTTCTAAATTCTTACAAAGTCAAACGCATCTGTGTTTTTATTTTCTGTTTTCCATCTTGGTCATGTTGAGAAGAGTGTGTCTACCCTGACACTTTTCTTCATGCATTTTTATGGTTTCACTTTTCACTTGGGCGGAGGGGAGTCCGGCGCAGGGATGAGCAGGGAGGTGTGTTGGGGTAGGCGTGGGCATGGAGGGAGAAGGCAGGCTAGTTGGAGGGCTGGGCTAGGCGAGCCTGAAGGAGTAAGAGGAGGAGGCAGGGTGCAAAGGAGAAGGAGTGGGTGATGAAGCCAGGATTGCAAACCATTAGAAATTATCGTCTCTAGTAAAAGTATAGTTAGACGTCAGCCAACTGGAATAACCTACACTTCTCGGGAGTTTACCCTTCCTAAAGTGGTGTTGCTTAGGAGTATCAGTGTGTATGGAGTAGGGAGGAAGAGGCTTTGGTCAGGATGGTGTGAGCACCACCAGGCCGGGCACTCCGGGCAGGTCTGTGCGCCGAGCTTCCTGGGCCCGCTGTTGTGCAGCCTTGGGGTGACTCCCCAGAAGGCTTTTGTGCCTTTGCCTAGGGCCTTCCCTGAGGCCCTGCAGCCTGGGTTCTGGGCAGGACTGAGGCCTCTTGCCTTCCCTCCCTTTGTTCCGGCTTCTCGTCCCTTCCCTCCAGGTTCAGGCTCTCTGGGCTGGTGATTCTCGAAGCTTGGCAGCATCTCTTATTTGGCAGGGCAAGATCTTTGTTCTTACGACAGGGCTCTCAGTGTACAGCCCAAGGGGCATTGGTAATAATTGTGTAATAGCATTAAGAGGATCCTTGCTTTCTCCCTCTCATTCTCTGAGTGTGTGCAGTGCACGTCTTCAGAGGCTGCACCCTGGACCATGATGTTGTTGCTTTGGCAGCTGCTGGGCTGTGTGCTTCGTCTTTTTTGAATCTACAGGAGTAGGTTTACAGTATAAATACGTGCAGCTTTAGAGATTTAGTGAATTCTCAGTATTCCTGCTGGGCTCTTAACTCTCTTCAGTTACATCTGCTATAATCACTGTAACTCGGTGTCATCTGTTAAATCCTTGCTTTGAAATCCTGAAGTTTTCCTTAGGCTTACATGGACACACAACAGGATCTCAGGGTACTTTGCTGACTTGTTTTGCAATAAAATTTAAAGATTTCTGAAAAACATTTCTAAATTTCATCTGAAATTATCATTGTAGATCTTAATGATATGTTCTAAACAAAAGGACATTTATAACATTTTTCATATTGACTCAGAGAGAGATGTGCTTTCTCAGCCCCCAGCAGTGCCACCCACATTCGAGGGCTGTCAGAGCGCTCTCCGGTGCGTGTTCCGGAGACACTGGGCAGAACTGTAGATACGGAGCTACAACAGGCCAGGGCTCTCTTCCCCTCATACACGGGACGTCAGTGCCTTCCGTCCGTGTCTCTGAACAGAACGGTTTTGCATACTGTTCTGGTGCTGGTGGAACTGCAGCGCCAGAGGCCTGTCATTCAGAGTTGGAACGATAAATGAATAGCTTGTTGTAAGTGTACATGTGAGGAGCTCTTTCAGAGCCAAACTTCAGAAGCCGCTGTGGCATCTTAGAAGTTACGTTGTCCAGGCTGGGAAAGTGCACTCGACAGCTGGGAGGCCAAGGAGTGTTGGGCCGTTGACATGGCGGAGTGCCGGCCAGGTGACAGTCGGGGTGAGGAGTCCCGGCACTGCCACAGGCCCTGGTGCAGCAGCTCTCTGGGCTAAAGAGGCGGCTGCGGACACCAGGAGTGAGTTGGCATCCCTCTGGCCAAGTTATATTTTTCCTTACGAGTGGCTAAATCTCCAGATACTGCTCATATTGCAAGCATTGAACCAAGTGTGGTCTTCAAGTCTCTGAGCCCAAAATCACATATTTAGGAAGAGAAAAGCTAACTGCGGTCCATGCACATGGATGAAAACTAGAGGATCATTCATGGTTAATCACACTGTGGTGTTGAAAGCTCTAGAAGCCGGAAGTCACAGGCCTTTAGGTCTTTGTGGATGTGTCCCGCAAGGTATCTACACTTTTCTTGAGCTGAGCAGCCTCATCATCCTTCAGCTTCTGGCTGATCGCCCTGGTTAATCCCCGGGCATTCAGGATACATGGAAAGCTCAGGAATACTTTGTTCTCAGTGCCATGCATTCCCTGCACCATCGTCACCGGACGAATCCTGGCTAGATTTTCAATGTGGATTCAGTGAGTTCAGCCATATTTAATCCACTAGTCCGGTTGGTATGTCCTTTGAGCGTGATGACTTCATAGGCACTTTGAACCATCCTCGTATGCACTCCCTTCCAGTTTCCACCGCCACCATCTGTTCCCATTTCTGGATTCAGTTCCTGGGAACAAATGCCTGCTGCATTCACTCCACTCCACACATCCGCTTTTGAGTCGCCATGTTCTCCCAAAGTCCATCCATGGCAGCTGCTGGGATGAGTGCCAAGTGTTTCAGCCGTAAGATAGCGAAATCTAACAGAATCCAGATTATACCCACTTACAATCACACAGTGCTTGCGTAGTCCCCTTAGTTTCCAAATCACATATGTGAGACCTCCCGCTGAGTTGAAAACCACAGTCACAGGACCACCAGGACCATACTGGACTATCGAGGGACGGTGAATTGGAAGACACTGACATTCCTCTGCACCAGACTGAGCCGGCTCTCTCCCTCCTGCTGGGAGCCCCTGCAGTTACCACCCCAACGCTAGAGTCGGCGGTCCTAGAGTAGTCTTCACCCGCCGCACTTTTAGCTGTCTGAAGACACAAGCTCCCATGTTGCAGACCCATCATTTCTTCCTTGAGTTTATCTTCCAAAACATCCACGAGGGCAAGTTCATCAGCCAGAGAGTTTCCCAGAATGCTTACGGCACACACCATACCAACTTGTCCGGCACCCACCGGAGTGATCCTACCGTTTGGGAAGGTTGCCTCTTCTGCAGTTGCAGTCAGTTTCTCCGTCAGAGTCGCACAAAGAGCACAGTGTCAGCTGCGCGCGCCTCCTCAGGCGCAGGGCAGGGTCTGCCTCGAGTCCTGCTTTGGAATCTCACTGCCTGTTCTGGAACAGATGTGTTGTTGACCTGTGCGCCAGTGTTGCGGAAGCAGTGGCCGGCACAGCCTCGGGGGCAGGTCAGGAGTCCAGGCTGTGGCACCAGGCAGTGCTCGAGCACCTGGGCTTTCCACGCACGCACGGGAAGAAAAGAAACCAGGCTCCCCTGGGAGTAGTCGTCAAAAATTACTGGTTTTATTAGTAGTCTGAATGCAGTGGGAAGTCTGCAGGAAGCATCTCTGCTGCCAAGCCAAAGGTGAGTTCTCTCAAGCAAAGCAGTGGTGTTGGGAGTGCGGTCAGCTGCTCTTTGCATGCAAGACCGTTTTCACTAGTGTTTTACTGGCAAACTGGGGTTATTCAGACTTGGCCGTTGGGCTGTTTTTTCTGGAAAAGGAGTGGAATGAGCCCGTCCTTTAAGACAAACAACTGCCAGTATTTGTTACCAGGGATAAAATCGAAATTAGGATTTGGGGAACCTTTATCCCTCACTTGAGTTTGACATCTTCCCAGGACTTAAAGACTTGAGGAGAGAGGTCGTGACGGTAATGAGTTGATTGGCGGATATCGTGGGAGGTAATTTGTCGGTGTTGGGGCGATTTCCATGACTCGGCAAACCACCGTTTTCCACGTTGGGTGCTGGGGGCAGAGCTGTTCAAAGTGCCAGGTACACCAATGAGTTCTAGTGTCTCAGAGTGTGAGAGAGCCGTCGTGGGACTCCAACTCCAGGTTGGCAGTGGACCTTGAAGGAACTCCGCTTGTTGAGTTTGGGTGCATTATCAAAGAAGAACGCCCATCGTCATCTGAAGAGGCTTTTAAAGGCACTCCTTCCTGTTCCAGCTACTTGACTCAGTGAGGCTGAGTCCTTCGTGTGCTCTAGCCTGCACAGCGGGGCACAGCCCAGTGAAGGCTGGGGCAGATGGGGGTACCCAGCTGTCTTCTCTGAAGCCAGATGTTAAGGAGATTTGCAAAATGTACAGTGGGGTCATGCTTCCCATGACTTATCTTTGTTTTGGAAAAAAGTTACTCTTGAATAAAAATGTTATTTATATTAGTATGTGATGGTTTTATTTGTGGTTTTTAATGAATTAAGTATTTAAAAATGTCTCTTTTAATTTCTCCTACCTAAATATCAATGTGTAACTCCAATAAAGGAAATCTCTTTGGGATCTTCCATCAAGTTTGAGGGTGTAAAGGGGTCCCGAGAGCTGGCATTTTAGAGCAAACTGGCCACAGTCGCTTGTTCTTCCATCCCCTGGGTCAACGCCCAGTGTGGAGAGGCTTCCTGAGGTGGTCAGAAGAGCCGCCTTGGGGTTCTGGCCGGCTCACTTGGCTTCCCTGGGAGTGACTGTGCCCTGAAGTGGCTCAGACTTGCTTGTGGCCTCAGGCTTGCATCTTCCAAGATGACCTTCTTGGGGCCTGGGGGTTGCTGGAGGGATAGGGTGAGGAGGAGAGAACCCTGGCTTTGGGATCAGGAGCAAGGAGTACCTTGACAGCATCCCCCCTAGCAAAACGACCATGGGCAAGCCTGCATGGACATTGGCACAGAGCCAGTGGTGAGCGTCACTGTGTGGTCAGCACGGCTGCGGTGACCTGCCTGCTGACCACACTCTGAGAGTCTCTGACTCAGGTCTGGCTTCAGCTCCAAGTCTGCGGACGGCATCCACCATTTGCCAGCAAGGAAAACGCGCCTCATGCGCAGGGCGGGGGGTGCATTTTCAGGGGAGTGGAAATTGACTTTTTGAAGTAAAAAATTGAAAATGACTCCTTTAATAAGTACTTAAACTTTTCAAGGTAGCTCACTAGCAGCCTGTTGTAAGCTAATTGGCAAATGCACTGCCCTATCGGATTGTGGCATTTGTGCTAATAATGGAGCTTCTAAGCCTCTCTGCGTCCTGCCTCGGGGTCGTTTCACCCCAGCCACTGGATGCAGTCAGGAGCCCGCATTGGCTGTCCCCGCCCGGGAGGAATGCGAGAGGCGGAGGCTGCGCTTGTGCGCGTGTGACAGGGCCTGAGAGCGTGCTGGTCCATGTAGTCAGGCTGGGCTCTGTCAGTGGGGTCCTCACGGCAGGGACGAGGAAGGGGCTTGCCTGCTTCCCTGCGGTGCCAGAATGTTCTGTTGCTGAGCCATTGCTGTGGTTTCGGTTTCACTGTAATACTACTGTTGTGGACATCTGTGCTTCTAATCTTCATTTTTCTTTACCTCCTGAGGGTAAATGGCTGGGAGTGGGATTACGTCTCAATACATCATTTCCAAATTGCTTTTAAGCGAGTTTCAAGTTCAGGACCACAGGCGCCGGTGCTGAGCAGGCGCTCACACACACACACCGGGGCAACCCCAGTAGGGCACCCAGGAAGGGCAGCTAGCTCAGTTTTGTTTACTTAGAGCCATTGAAAATTTGGGGGCCATGCCCTCTTTGGGGAGTTGCTAGTTTGTATCCTTTGTTCTTTTTTTTTTTTTTTTAAGCCTTAAGCCTTTCCTATTGCTTTGCATGTGCTCTGCAGAGTGATGTTGACCCTGTGGGCCATATTTACTGAAGACCTCTCCAGCCTGCCTCCTGGTTTACCCTGGTGGTTCTGTAGTTGGAGGTGCCTTCGTCCTCCCGTGGTCCTGATTGCTGCTTAGACAGGAACTCCTCCCCCCTCTCCTAGCTCTGCCCTGGCGGGGGGGTTGGGTTGCTTTGGGGCTGCCTGTGAACTGGAGAAAAATCTTCCCCAGTTTCTCAAGCTCAGGGAATCTATCCTCGAGAAAAATCTTCCCCAGTTTCTCAAGCTCAGGGAAAACCAGAATCTCTTGTTCGATTTAATATTTCATTTGGTGTCTCCTGTCACACCACATGAGGCTGCAAAGATACCGTGAGGCCACTTCTTTCTGTACCTGTCTGTCAGGCTTCCCTGGTGCTGTGGCACCATCGGCCCAGCGCCCCCCGGGGGTCTGGCTGCCTCCCCCGCCCCGGACCCTCCCACACCTAGTACACTTTAATTCAAGTCTTCCCCTTATGGTTAGTTTATGGTTCTTTACTACACATCCAGTTCTTCTACATTAGGGTCTGTTGGTTAGAAGGGACTTTCTGTCTGATCTGTTTCTGTGCTGCAGATCATTCTATCTGCTTTTCAAAAATCTCCTGAATTTTTTTCCTCTTTGTTTCAAGTCTTGGTTTTGTTTGTTAGTTTGGTTTTTAAGTAACTCTGAGAGGGAGGTGTTGTACTTTTCCTCATACAGCACTGTTTTCATTAAAATTCTTTTTAGTTTTCAGAATCTACCTGCGGCTATGTCCACTCACATGTAGGCTGGGTTCTTGGGAATGGGGCCTCTGTGAGCTCTGGAGCCAGCCTGGGTCTGGTTGGGTTAGCATGGGCAGACCTCGGGGCCAGGTGAGCTGGGTGGGAAAACATGGTTTTGCTAGCTCGGCCAGTCGTCTTGCACGCACTGGGTCCCTTGTGGGTGCGCTCAGATACTAAAGTGGTAATAAAACTGTCACTATTGGAGATGACAGTTGTCTTAGGCCTTTCCAAATAAAAAATATTGTTGTGTTCTACAGTAGATCCTCAGATCAGGAATTTCAGTAAAGTCAGAACATAAACCGGTAACTATTCACTTTAACCAAAAGCAAGAACCCGTAGACATTAAAACAACCTCTTTTATCCTCCTTGGAGTCAAAGTGAAGTATACTTGCTAAGAATGCACATTAAGTCAAAGTTGTGTTCCTAGCTTTCTCTTTCAAACTCCTGCCGTATTTGAGTAGGAGTGCTGTGTTACTGTGGTAGAAACACCAGAGATGTTCTCAAACCAAGTCTGGCACAGGTCTTTCCGGAATCTGTGATTCGCAGCTGCTCGGTGGTTTCTGAGCATTGGATTGGGGGGCCCAGCTTGGGGAGGTAGCACGTGGCCAGCAGTCCGTGTCCTGGGGCTGACTCTCAGAAGCCTCCTCCTTTTCAGGGGCTCTGTGTTCACCCCAGCTTTGTTCACATGAAGGAGGACTGGCGTCCCCTTGCCACCATCTTTGTGCTGCCGAGCCAGAGGTAGCAGCAGGCAATGGTGCTGGTCCGCGCACCCCGACCGAAAGCGGTTGAGCAGTGGGCACCTGCGCCCTCTGTGACACTTGGGGCCTCCTGAGTTCCTGGAGCGAGTTGGGCCATGACGGGAGAGGCCTGGGCAAGGCACGCAGATGCCCTCAGCAAGTTCGTTTTGAGTGGAGGAGCTTGGGGAGAATTTTTATCCCTGACTCACGTGAGCGTCTCATTCTTGTTTTCTTCTTTTTATAGGCATCAGTTTGTAGAAAATAACTTAATACTAAAGATGGGTCCCGTAGATAAGCGAAAGGTAAGTCCGACTCTCTCTGCATCTCCCCGAGGGTCTGTCTCCCCTCAGCCACGTCGGGGTCTGGTCTTCCGCCGCAGGCTCCGGCTGATCCTTGCTGTGCATGTGTCCTTGGTCTTGGTTCCCTTTCTCTGAAAGATCATGTCTAGATCTGACGGCCAAGGAAGACTTGAGCCACTGGGGGAAGCTGTTTGAAACCACACAGGAAGGCTGTGGTAAAATAGAAATACAGCCTCTCGTTCTGGCTTGGGGTTTTGATATCCTATCAAGTCGTCTCTTACTTCATTAGAGTTGTTTTTGAAAGTTGTTATTTGTTTCATGGATTAGTTGTGTCAAAAATATCAGACTCCACAAACACTCTGCCAACGTGGGCCCTTCTGAGTTCAGGCCCCAGGCCTCCGTTCCTGGCCATGCTGCACACGCCGCCCTGGTTGGTGCCAGCAGTGGGGAGCCCCACCCCCACCCCATGGAGCAGAGGGCACAGGGGGCGCCCTGACTGTCCCTGGCAGGCTCGGTGGAGCAGGCTCGGTTTTGCTTGCCGGTGGGAGACACACCCAAGTGGGGCTGTTGGAATCCAGCTCGCAAAGGCCAGGCAGGCTGGGCGCTTCGTTCTGCCTGCCCCTCTGTGACCTGAGAGGCCAGGTTCCAGGCGAGTGGACAGAGGGCTGGCGCTGGTCCCGAACCCCAGGCTGCTGTGATGGCCAGGCCTCTGAGGCCGCGGTAGGTGCTGCCCGCTCCAACTTCTGAGCCCTGACGAGCAGGGTCTTTTCATTTTGCATCAGGGCTTGTTTGCACGACGACGACAGTTACTGCTCACAGAAGGGCCACACTTGTATTATGTGGATCCTGTCAACAAAGTCCTCAAAGGCGAAATTCCATGGTCGCAAGAACTCCGACCAGAGGCCAAGAACTTTAAAACCTTCTTTGTGCACACGGTGAGTTTGTCTGTACGGGTTCTCCTTTGCAGGGCAGTTGTCTCCCCCTTTTCTCGTGTCCCAGGGGCCCCACGCTCCCAGCTCAGCTGCGAGCTGGGTCCCCCAGGCCCCTGTGCTTGTCTGTCAGGGTGGGGGTGACCTAAGGGAACTGTAGGTCCTTGCCCGCATGTGTGATGTCTGCACATATGCACAGGGAAAACCCATGCTCGTGTGCCTCCAAGTGTACCCTCCGTGGCTGCAGTAGGGTGCTGCTCTCGGTGGCACCCCCTCAGCATCGTTAAACGGTTTCTGTCTCCACAGCCGAACAGGACGTATTACCTGATGGACCCAAGTGGGAATGCTCACAAATGGTGCAAAAAGATCCAGGAAGTGTGGAGACACAGATACCAGAGCCACCCGGATGCCGCCGTGCAGTGACAGGTCTGCGGCTGCCACAGTCGCTGCCAGGACACTTGCCCCAGCGCGGCTCACCGCCCTCCGGGACGCTTCCAGACCACCTGCCAGCCATCTCAAGGGGGACGCAGACGGCAGAACCTTGCAGCTTTTTTATTTAAAAGAAAAGAAGAAAAAAATACCCAACCACACAAAGAACAAAACCAATAACGAAAAGGAATTCAGGGTCGCTTTGCTTGCTCTCTGTGCTCTGTGGAGGTTCCCCAAGCTCTCCTTGTCTTGGGGACCCAGCGCCGTGCACGTCCACCTGATTCCCGCCCGGGCGAGTGGAACAGACTCGAGTCACCAGCTCTGCACCACACGCCCTGGTCATGCACCGGCCGGTCCTCCTGTGGCCGAGGGGATGGGGTGTGTGTCTGGGCTCTTCTTGCCCCTAGGTTATCACAGAACCCGTCGGCAGGGAGCCATGCACGCCTCTGCCAGGGTGGCTTCGATCTCTGGCGGGTGGGAGGGTTCCTGGCTTTGGTCTGTGTACTTCTTTTCTTGTGTCCCTTACTTGATGCCCCTTTGCCCTGCCAGGGCCCCTGCTTGCCTTCTTGCATCGCTCTGGCTGTGAGCACTCCATGGCTTGTGTTCGTTGGGCAGGCTCCAGGTGTGGAGATGTGGAGCGGGCTGTCGGGGTGTGCTATGGAGCCGCTGCTGAGGTTGGAGGGTGCCAGCAGGCCGTTCGCATTGAACGTCCCTCTGAGCGGGGTTGGCCCTGTGGAGCTCGAAAGAAGCACAGGTCTGAAAAGAGCACCCAGTTGCGCCAGGAGACAGGGAAGGCTGTGCCCTGCTCTGGGCACGAGGCCAGGGCAGCAGGGCAGACTGGGCCTGGCGTCCCCCACGTGGGGGAGTGCTGCCTGATGAGCCCCTCCTGAGAGTTTGGTCCGAGGGTGGAACATGCAGGCCCCCCGGCGCAGTTTGCTAGGGCTGAGGGTCTCTGGGCACCAGCCGTCTCCCAGCTGTGACACGCACCCCTTTCGTGGTGAGGGAACATTCTTGTAGCCTGACTTCCAGCACGTTCACATCTCCACAGTGAAAGTCTGAAAGCCTTCTCATGCTGCCAGGTCATTTATCCCCATCAAGATGTGGACCTTGCCAGGAAGAAAATGTTGCTCACCTTGCATGAGGGGTAGGAACACCACACTGGAGTCTGAGCGCCCAGCCTGCTCGCCCCCTGTGCTTTCAGCCTGCCTGCCTCTCTCTTTTCAGAGGCAGCACAGTGCTGCATACCTACCGCAGGGGGTCCACGATTTACTGCTCCTTTGATTTCTTTGCTGCTGCTCCCTGGACAGAGAAAGCCTGTGGGCCTGGTGGGGCTCGGAGCTCCTCTCCCTGCCCGTGTCCCTTGAGGGCAGTCCGCAGCCCCAGGTGGGCGCGGTAGAGGCACCGCTGCCTGCAGGCTGCTCACAGACTCATATCTGTCCCCAGGGGATGAACAACTTTGCCGTTTCCTGGAGACTTTCACGAAGGCACCAGTAGAAGGCTCACACAGGAGAGGTCCCCCCGACCACTCTGCCTCCATCTCCTGTCTTGAACAAAGCATCCGTCACCCCGTGTTGACGAGTGGTCCAAATCGGAGAAAAGATGTCTTTCTCAAATGGGTTTAGTGATATGAGTGGCCCTTGTGTCAACCCGGTGAGGGGAGTGTGGCTGTGGAGCTGCCCCTGCTGGGCCGGACAGGGGGCCGGACAGGAGCGGAGGTGGGGCGGGGAGTACCGGCGGCTTCCTTTTGGGTCTTGTGCACTGCTCTATGAGAGCTGCGCGTGCATGAGTGAGCGAGGGTGCGTGTGCGCGCGTGCCCATGCCGGGGCGGGTGCCAAGCTGTGGGGGGCGTGCCTGCCCTTGGGGCACCCAGGGGAGTGGGATGCTGCCGGGGCCAGGGTCATAGGTCACGCTTCCCTCTTCTCGCTTTTGAAGAGGCTTGCCTGTGTTCACCTGCTTTTCAAAAATTAAGTCTCTCTGGGCCTTCAGGAATGTCATTTCCAGCTTACTCCCATGTTGATCATTTAACCTTTCTTAGAACACCCGCGTCTGTGGGCGTGCTGTTTGGAGAGTTGGGGGCTGCTCTTGCACAGTGTTCTTCCTTGGGTCCGGTTATGGGGAAACGAGCAGGGCTGGCGTTTGGCTCTCACAAGAGCGCTCGGCTGGGCTGCTCCGGGAGAGACGCAGCGTCTGCTGCATTCCTCTCTGGACAGCGCCACTACCTCCTGGGCTTCACCCGCCAGCTCCATCGTAACCTCCGGGACCAGAGAATGAGGGGTTCAGGGTTCAGCTCGCAGCTGACAGAGTTGAAGTGACTGCCCTTGCCTGAGCCAGTGACAGCTGAGCCCTTCTCCCTTCGCCACCTTTCTCCTCTCAGAGCCTTCTTCCCCCCTTCTCTTTTTTTTTTTAAGGCACATACATGTTCTTTTCCTACCCTGTGCTTGTCCATGTCGGCTTTCGTTGTATGCAGCTTGTCCTTAGAGTGCCTGTCCCCGGTGCAGGTGCCTTGCCTTCTAAGATGTGGGCATGGCTGTCAATCGAGTATGTACCAGACATACATGGAAGTACAGGTGATTTATCCACACTGAGAAAGAAAGTGTTCTGTTGACTAGATTCAGGAGCCATGTGTCTTAGTGAGGGCCAGGAGAAGGTTCAGTGCCAACCACATAGCCGGCACGTAGAGCTGGTCCCATACCATGTGGCCTCGCCGGGCATGGAGGGGAGGGGGTGGGGCTGTGGCCTCCACAGGCTCAGGTGGCCCACTGCGCCTTGTCCCTCTCTGGGAACTCCAGGAAGCCAGGCTTGGGTGGGGCTGTTTCCTTCCCTCTTTCTGTGGACCTGACCAGGACAGTGGGCGATGGGTCGTGTAGCAGGTGGCCCCGTGAGGTGCACAAAGGCACTGCACCTGCTGTTCTGAACCTTGGCTCTCAGGAGTGTGTTACAGACCTGCTTTGCGGGAGATGCCTCTCGCGGCTGTGCCGGAGCTGGTGGGCCCCGCATGTTCTCCAGGCCCCTACTGCCGCCCTTTGGTATTTGTGGCTGGGGCCTGTAGGCATTGCAGGAGTTGCCCCGTGGCACAAACTCACCGAGGGCCAGGTGCCAGCCCAGGGGCTCCAGGTGGTTCTGTACTTTCTTAAAACATTTGCTTTCTGAGAACATCAACTGTAGGCTTACCACCCAGAAGAGACCACTGTGAACATTTTGGTGTATAACCCCCCCACCCCCCATGCACATATTTGTTTGCTTTTTAAACTAAAGTGGGAACATGAAACACACACTGTTCTGCATCTAGCTTGTTTCACTTGATAATTTATCTTAGGCATTTTTCCACATCATGAACAATGATTAAAAACATTGTTTTTAGTGATTGTAGAGCTTAATATGGTTATCAGTTTTATCGTAACTTATCTGACCATTTTCCTGTTATAAAACATTTAGATGGTTTCTGGTTTTTCACTATTTAAATAATGCTGTGATGAATACCCTCGTAAATCTTTGATTTTGACTCTGATCGCCCCCCACCCTTGGTTCCTAGAAGTAGTGTTTTGGGGTCACAAAGAGTTTGTTTTAAAGGTGGTATTAGTCTCTCTTCCTGTCTTCATCTGAGGCTTAGATGCTCAGAGTTCCAGCACACAACCTCCTCAGTTGTCCTACAGATTCTGGACAAATCAGTTTCTGCTAAGGTGTGTGTTCCAAAGAATGTTTTAATAAGACTGCTCTTTTTTTTTTCCCCACAATGCTAAAATATCATTTATTGCAGTCCGTTTGTGACAGATTTTTCCAAAAATGCATTTCCTTATTTTCATTGACAGAATCTGGTTATGCTTGCATGTTAGTTACCTTCCCATCCCTGCTGCTGTGGCTTTCACATGCTTGGTGATATTTTCAGAAGCTTGTACTTTGTGTCCACAATGGTACTGAATTTGCATCTGCACAGGCAGCAGAGATAAAAAGTGTTGAACTGACCTTGCCACATGCATAGTGGATGATTTGTAATTAAGTGTGTGTAGACTCTGAAAATACATTGGGCCATTTGGAATCAGTAAAAGAGCAAAATCTCTAATTGAGAAAGAGACCATGTAGGCAGTTGGGTTTAACATAAGGTTATTTGCCCCTATGCTCTTCAAATGGTGGCACTCAGTAGGAAGGTCTTAGCAGTTAGTAGAGCGCAGTGGCCAGGCCTTTTCACTGTAGAGGGTGATTGTCCTGGCCCACGTGGCTTTCGGGACTCCTCCCCTGTCCTCCCTCACAGTGTTGCAGGTTGTCTGGCTGTCTTCAAACCCAGAACACCCAATTTGGTTTCATTCCTGATTTCTCCACTTTAGTTTGGGGTCCATTGATTCTGAGAGGAGAGGTGCGTGAGAGATTTTTTAGGTGCTGTGCTCAGTGTCACTTGAGTCTGCCAGAGATTTTTGGCTGGATTGTGGAGAATTGGACTTCCTGCCCTCCTCTGACACCCCAGGTTCCCTGTCCCCTGTCCGGTCCACAGACAGGGTGCTCACTCCCCAGACCGCAGAGGTTGCAGCCGCTTGCCAGAATATGATGCAGGTACTATTCTTAGAGATGTCGCCATGTGCATTTTTCCACATTGTTTCTTTTCATCCAAAGCTCACATGAGCTGACAGTGACTCAGGTGGGTGTGGCCCTTCCCACTTAGGCAGCCTATATGGCAAGTGCCCTAAATCAGGGCAGGAGTCACTTCCAGAGCTTCTGAGGGGGGCAGGCTGCTGGCCCAAGGTTGTGGAGTTGCAAATCAGGCTGCCTGTGGAGAACTGGTTTGGGGAAGGAGCTGTTCCAGCCAAGAGCAGTTTTATCTGTAGCTCGGACAGCTGTGATGGGCAACTGAACTAGCCTACATGTATACCTGAATTTTCCCCAGAACCCACTTCTTCAGTGTGAAGAGACACCAAACTTCGCGAACAGAGAACTTTTTACAAAAGGCAGACCTTTTTTTAGCGTGTGATCCACCCTAGTCCCAACCAATCTGGCAGAATGATTTTTGAATAGGGGTCGTTTTGCTGGTGAAAAGCCTCTCTATCCTTATCAGAAGTTTGATTGGACATTGACAAAAATAAATTTTTGCATTATTTAGAACTGCTGTAGCTGTTCCTTAACACAAAATCGGATGAATCAATAGTATGTTAGCTGTCTTTCAGGTTGGTGGCAGTCAGTTAGAACATGTGTAAAATTCTCTACCTGGTCTGTAGCTGTAACTGTGATGTACAGGCAAAGCAAAAATTTAAAACTTATGAAAACAAATAATGCAATGATATTAGGATATACACTTTTGTATTTTTATTCTTATATAAGGTTATTTGCTGGCTATTGTTGGCCTCTAGTTCAGTCTGTGTTATTTAAAATCTAATATATGAATTATTTGGATTGAATTCATGTTCGGGGCCACGTTGTTGTATGTATTGATGTACAGCCTTGAATGTGAATAATTATTGTAAACTATATTTTACAACTTTTTTTCTGGCTTTATTATATAAATTTTCTATTTGGTCAATGATTTAATCATATAATTTAATGAATCTGTTTCTTCTCTTTTTTTCAAATACTTGTGCTTTAGATGTAGTTACTGGATGATGAATTTTCCACGTATGCTCGGTAGTCTTGTAATAAAAAGCATGTAGAGTGTAGACGCTCGCTGGCCTAACTCTTCTTTGACCGGGGGCGCGGGTCGGGCTCGGCGGCCACCTGCATTCCGGGCCCGGAACCCAGCGTCCATGCGCCGCACGGGCGGGGGGCGGAGGCCGGCGAGCCCCTCGAGCCCGACGCCCGGCTCCGGCCGGAAGGGGGCTCGGCCGGTCGCTTTTCCGGACCGGAACTTCCGCCTGCCGCGTGACACCAGGGCGGGCGCTTTACGAGGGCGGACTCGTGGGCGGGACAGAGCTAGGAGGACGGTATTAAAGGCCGGACGCTTCCGGTGGAGAGGAGCTGTGGCGGGGCTTGCTGGGATCATGGCGGAGAATCACTGCGAGCCGCTGCCGCCGGCTCCGGGCGGCCTCGGGGCGGGGCTGGGGGCCGGGCTGTGCCGCCGCTGCAGCGCGGGGCTCGGTGCCCTGGCCCAGCGCCCCGGCGGCGTGTCCAAGTGGGTTCGGCTCAACGTCGGCGGCACCTACTTCCTCACCACCCGGCAGACGCTGTGCCGGGACCCGAAATCCTTCCTGTACCGTCTGTGCCAGGCCGACCCCGACCTGGACTCGGACAAGGTGAGGGCCGCGCGACTGTCCGTGCCGGGCCGGGGAGGCCGGGCCTGGTGCCCGGGCGCCCACCGCCCTCGAGAACTCCCGGCGGGCCCACCTCGGCTCCCTCTCGCCCTCTCCGCTTCCCGGCGGAGCTTTCCCACACCCCGGACCTTGCTGTGGATCCACTTTCTTTCCCCTCTAGGTTCTCATGGCCCCGCTGTGTGCGCGTCTCCTCTGTGGCCCCGTGTACTTAGTGGCCCTGGAATCGGAGAACCCTGGCCGCCTTCTCATCTGCTCACATTCCAGACGTTTAACTTCACGTTGGCGTGGGGGGGTTGACACGGGTGACCTGCCTTTCCCAGTGACTTGCATTTAGAGAGTTGGCGCTCCGTCGTTTACAGCCACAACACGCTCGCATCGGCACTCGCAGAAGGGGCCGGCCCTAGAGTAATTTTTCGAAGGGAGGGTTGCGCGTGCGAAGGAGTGGCAAGGAGGGACCAGGTAGGAATATTTCGTCAGGCTGCGTCCCCATTGCCCTCCCGAAAGGGTAGGAGTCCCTCGGTTGGTTTGCAGCTTGTCTTTCATTAAGTGCTGGTACTGTTGTGCAGATCATGATGGAAACTGTTTCGGTTATGACCTTTATGAGACTTGTGTGGCTGAGGAAGAGCTGCTAGGGGTCTGTACGAATTGAAACTCCGAAAAGGCTCTATTGTAAGAGTAGTTACCTATATTTATCCGCGGCGGTTCGCAACCTAACTTTCCTGGGTCTTCTCAGTTGAGCGTACATAATTGCACTTGGCTTTGTGCCTCGCCAGCTCAACGCTTGCCAGGCATAAGTCTTCCCAGAAAGATTCAGCTCCCTCTTCAAGTTCGGGAAGGCAGACGGAGCCCATCCTCAGGGTGGCATGACCTTACGATCAGGAGAGGAGAGCTCCTGAGTTACCACAAGACCACTTGTCGTTGGCAGAAATCAGGGTTTGAGATGTCAGCGCTCCAGTCTCCCCCGCCACCACCCCCAGCTGCTTCCACTGCTCCTTTGACCAAGCTCTCGCCTCAGAGAGAATTGACCTCCCAGAAAATGGCAGGCCTCTCCAGGACAGAAATAGGCTTTTGTTTGCTGTGATTTTCCTTTTATGGCAAGGGTGTATGTTTTACTGTGTGTTTGTTTGTATTAAAACACTGGGCCACAGTGGTCATTCACTGGGATTTCTACTCGAGAGTTCGTTTTGTATATTGCATCAGATTTTAAATTGCACTTGTCCACTGGGGTTTTGGTGTGTGTGTGGTGTTTTTTGTTTTTTGTTTGAGGCAAAGTCTCTATTCATCACTAAAACAATTGATTCAGAGCCAATTAACTATAGCTTCCACAGTTAAGTCATTTCATTCCTTTATTTTACTGTCTCAAAACGACTTAAAAAAAACTATGCTCTACTGTAATAACAGTCCTTTGGGGGAGGTAATTAACCCACCAGAACACATCTGCTGCGGTTGCTTCTTGTCACCATCCGGTGCTTACCCACATTTGATCTCCAAATTGTAAGAGTGAAATCTAGAACATGAAGGTAATGCAGCAGATACAGTTTCTGTCTCATAGGTAGTCGATAGTAAATAAGGGTGAGTTTTTGTCACGGGTAATGGGAATTTAACAAAGAGTAATGCTGATTCACATCAGTCACGGTAGGAGTGTGCTTTACTTCACATGAGACACAATGTGTAAGATACTGGGTTTTCTCAGTGTCACCCCCCCCAACTTTCTGATGAAAGAATGTCCCAGAGCTTCACTCCTAGATAATTAGACCCTGAGTGAGGAAGCGAAGGCTGAGGGCGGAGGGGAAGGGGTGTTTGGAGGAGTGGGACGGCCAGTGATTATTACATGATGGAAGAGAAACAGGATGTTGATTCACTTGTAAAAACCTCGAAGCCCTCACTTCATAGTTAAAATGAATGAAAGCATACCTGGCAGATGTCCCTAGGGCTGGACATCAGCAGCACAGACCTGGTGGAAGGTTCCTGCTGGGCACCTGACTAGTGTTTATTGAGCTCCTGGGCTCCAGCAAGCTCGTGCTTGCATCGGACTTGGGTGGGGGGGATTCGAGGAGAAGTTGTTCCAAGGAAGGGGGAGACCAGGACCTTTCGGCAACCTGGTGGGTTGAAGTTCACTGGAAGAGTGCCTGGAGCTTGTGTTTAAACACTGCAGAAGCCTATGGGAGAGGTGGAGTGATGGGACGTTTTCTGAAGAAGGCAACAGTTTGTTAAGGAGGGTGGGGAGCGGGGCTGCAACTGGTCTCCCTCTCTCAGAACTGAGCCTGGGACCAGCTCTGGACTTCAAACCCTTACCCGTTGGTTTCATTGTGGACTCTGGGCCCATTGCTGCCGTGTGGTTCTCTTTATAGACCGCCCAAGTATGAATTCTCACTTCCTCCTGGGGCTTCCTCCAGCCGGGCTGTGTCTGGGGTGTTTGTTTCAGCATCTGCTCCCCTGCTGTCTGGGTCATCTTTCTCCCAGGTTCTCGTAAGGGGCGGGCCAGGTGTGACACTCCTTCCCGGAAGTGCTTTGTGAATACTTGATGTGTGATTCATTTGGGTTAAGTCTCTTTGTATTCCATGGTACCTGGCCCATTAGGCATTGCTGAAAACAGGTTAGCGTTTGTTTAGAGCTGAATCAGCCCCCGTTTCAGTATGGAGATGCTTTAGGAGTTGAAAGGGAAACAGGAAATACTGCTACTTGGTGGTTGGAAACCACTCAGGTTAAGTAGGATTTGAGGTGGGTTCAGTCTCTGTTGCCTGAGCCAGGCCTGGAGAAAATCTGAGCTTTTGTCCGTTGATGGGGTCATTGTTCTGCCTTTGGGGTGCAGATTCTGTGGCGTTAGATGGGTCTTTGAGAGGTGGGGCCATCGCAGGGCCTCTGGTGACATGGCACTTGCAGTTCTTTGCCTCTGCTCACTCCGGGTGTACTTGGTGTTGGCAAGAGTGTCGGGATTGGAAAGATAGTGGAAGAGATTTTACAGACAACGGCCAAGCGATGAGGGATGTGGGTGGGAGTACAAACTTCTAAGTTGCTTGGCAAGAGAAGTGGGGATTCCTTAGAGTGGAAAGAGCAGATTATGCTCCGTGTAACTAAATCAGAGGCGAAAGGCTAACTTCCCGAATTCTGAAGAGCGTCCTGGGCGCCCATGAGAGCCGTGTCGGCCTATCTGAGGCCTGGAGTGGGCGACCCGAGACTTGGGTGCATTTCATTTCACACTTTGGTCGAGGATGTGGCTCTGAGCGTGTTCGTAGCCCTGGCCACGTGCCGTGGTTGGTCTAGGCCCCGGGTGGAGGGAGGGGCTCCCACCCTTCCCCCGTACAGCAGGTGTTTGCTGGCAGAGCCCACGTTACGTCTCCACGGGGTCCCTAACTGGACAGCCCTGGACCTGAAGCAGCCCGTGATTCCAGGCCAGAAGGTCCTGAGAAAGGACTTGCTTGAGTGAGAGCTTGCTTCAGGGCCTCAGACATAGGCCCTGGGCCTGCAGCTGTCCCCACCATCAGCCATCTGAGGGCAGCCCGGGAGGAAATGGTTGTCGCTGCAAAGCACTTCCTCTTTCTGCCCCCTGCACCGTGACTAGGCTTGGTTGGAGCCATAGTCAGAACACTGTGGCCCACCTGCCTGATGTTGCAAATCGAGTTTTATGGGAACACTGGGGTGCCCACTTGTTGACAGGGTGTCTGTAGCTGCTTTCACCTGTGAGTGGGTGCTCACAGCTCCCTTCCAGAGACGCTCCAGGTCAGCAGTCACTGGGCCAACTGTCCTTAAATTCCCTTAAAGGAGCTGGCTCTGCACCGAGGGAGGTTTGTGCATGGCCAGGGTGCTCTCCCCGGACTGCAGAGCGCCAGAAGCATCCAGGCTGGCGCTGGTGTGCTGTGGGTACTGGGGAGACGGAGTGTCTTCCCTGGTGGCAGAGTGAGACTGGAGACTCGGGCCTGACTTTGACTTTGACCAGAACTTAACTCGCTGTGCGACTTTGGGGTAAGTTGGTGCACCTCTCTGAGCGTTAGTCCGGGAGTTGCTGTGAGAGTTTGGGAAGATGGTGCAGGTCACACCACCTCCACCCAGTGCCCCGTGCTGGGTCCGTGCTGGGTCCTCACAGCAGATGGAGATGACTCGCGGTGGTCTCTACTTTGTTTTTAGAAAGAATGCTTTTTTCTCCCCGTCAGAATTTGTTCTTGCTGCTGTTTGTTTCTTACACATACTCTCTGAATCACCGCAAACCTTGGTCCCAGAGGGGAGCTCCTGCTGCTCGGCCAGCCTCGAAGGGGAGTGTGTGCGAGCCTGGCCCTCCTGTCCCCCGTCCATCCCTGGCCGCCTCTTGGCGCTCCACCTAGAGCTCCAGGCTGACTTGAGGAAAGGCCCGAGGGCGGCTTCCCAACTCTGGAGCTGGAGGCTGTGCCACAGGGGAGGGACACAGCTTCCTG